AAGAGGTGAAGGCACTGAAGTGGAAGTGCCACCACCACCATTTTGCGGTTTGTCATCGCCAGTGGAATCAGCACTCCTGCGAACTGCCTGATCAGTGAGAGGGAGAGAGACTAAGTAACTGGGTTTGCCTGTTTGGAAAACAGAGAAGGCAGAAAGACAGAAGAGTCGGCGAGGAGCAACAAGCAAGCTCGCGTGTTGGCTGCTCACTGCTCCTCACGATGGCCAGTGGCTGTTGCTGCTGCTGCGGTAAAAGGTGAGCGTAAAGGCGAGATTCGCTAACGGCGAAGGGCACGGTGTTGCTGTTGCTGCTGAAGTGAGTGCTCCAGTGGTGAATGAAGAGGCAAGCCAGCAGTGATGGCAACGACGCGGCAGTAGTCAGCCTGCAGTGCTCACTCTATCAAGTGCTTGCAGTTTTCTGCTTTGTGCCAAATCACATACACACACTCCGCGTTTCTGATTTCAGCAAACTGAAACAAATCTTTGAATTGTTGCTGGTGCTGGTGTCCAATAGCTGAACAGCATCTCACAACCAGTGTCCCTCTGTAATTGGAGCGCTAATGAGGATGTGAACGGACAATGCGGCAGTCTGTGTGACTGTGTCTGCAGCACTTGTCGCACCAGCATCATCATCAGCCGCAGCAACAGTAGTGCTCGATGCAATTCAATTCTGCTGTTCACCAAACGAACTACTACAATCATCATCACCTCGGCAACCAAAGCAGCCACCACCACGAGGTTTTGCCAGTAGGCACAGCTACAACAAACAGCACTACCACTACTACCGTCACCACAATCACCATCATCACCCCCAGCAGCCATATCCCTGAATGTCAGTGCCAAACAGTACTGGGCAATTAACGAGCAAAGAAGAACATCAACCACCGCCGAGAGAACACAGTGAAGCGGTGATATGCTTCACTGAACTCTGCGGTCCGCCCGAGCACCCAGATCAGCGCAAAGTGTCTACCTGCTCGAGTGACTGACTGAGGAAGCAACAGAGATAGGGAGAGACAAATGCCCTGAGCCCAGTGCGCGACACACTCACTAGGACAACAACAACTGTTGCTGCTAGTANAGCGCAAAGTGTCTACCTGCTCGAGTGACTGACTGAGGAAGCAACAGAGATAGGGAGAGACAAATGCCCTGAGCCCAGTGCGCGACACACTCACTAGGACAACAACAACTGTTGCTGCTAGTAGAGTGCAATGCGATTTGCAATTGAAGACATCACGATAACTGCATCCACTACTTTTTCCACCACCCACCACCACCAATATCATGTTGTTGCCTGAGCAGTAATTCTTGAGCAGTCTGAACCAGCAGCAGCACCTGTGCTCATCTCATCACCATCAACATGAATCTCATCAAGCTAATCGTCAGCATTCAACTGCTGCTCGCCTCTCTCTGTCTTCTCATTCAACTGTACGCCCTTGCTTCCGCAAAATGGGCCATCTTTGAGTCGCGCGTCGAATTAGGTAATCATAATCAGTCAACAACTGATACTGCTACTAAACTGATACGTAATAAATAGTCAAATGTGAGGGAGAGAAAGAGCAAGATAACAGCATTTCCTAATGAAGTCATAACGTATTTTTTTGTTCGTGTGCGTAGGACTGATTGAGGAGCACGGCCACTACGGACTGTGGTCAATCTGTACGAGTCGCCTGCTGGCTCCTGCCGAGGTGACCGAGGACGGTAATCTGATTGACCACATCGTCGACTGCGAGGGCGTGAGCACCTTCTTCAAACCGGCCTACTCACGAGCCTGCATCGCCTTCTTCGCCCTGGTGCACGCTGTGGCACTGCTGCTCTACACCTGTCTGCTCGCTCTCCGACTGTTGGAGATACTTTTCAATGAGTCGAAGAAGGCTAACTCTGAAGGCGCCGCCGAGTCAGCCACCGATCTCGAGGTGAACGGTCAGAGTCAGGTGAAGCGAATGCTGGTCATCGCTACCCGATTTCTCTCGTACCGAGGCAACAGCAGAGGAGGAGGAGGTGCCGGTAGCTCGAGTGCCAGTGCTCGCGAAGACGCCGTCAAGAGGCAGTTGCGCCTGCAGCTGTACACCATTTCAGTGGCTGGTAAGGGGTGATTGCTTGGTTGAGTCTTCTGTAGACTGACTTGATAACGAAATTTGTTCCTTCCTGTTTTCCTCCATCAGCTGCTTCCACAGCACTAGCCCTTCTCAGTGCCATTACCCCGCGAAAGCCCCTCCGAGAGAGTGACGCCTTCCAGGTGAACGCCGTCTCTGCGACCAACTACCGCGTCTGGCGTGGCCCTGCCTTCTGGGCTCAGCTGACCACGCTGATCATGGACATGCTGCAGACCAGTCTCATTGCCATACACGTGCGGGTGCTCTTTGTACAGCAGCAGCAGCACCAGCAGATTACCACCACCTGCAGTACGAGTGACAATGAAACGGCGCAGCACATTGCTCAGGAGGTGATTGTCAATCCCTTCTTCCGCGTCAACAGCGTCCACTCGCCCATGCTCTCGGGGGCAACACAGTCGGGCAGTCAACGACGGCCTGCACATCACCACCACCATCATCAGCATCATCATCAGCATCATCATTCGTCAACAAGCAGACGACATCGATCTGCAGCCATACCCACCACCAATACCACCTCTCCATTCAGTGCCACCTCGCCACAATCAGCGGACATTGCCGAGACGTCAATGTCGCTGAGCAATGCACACCACGCAACAGTACCAAAGATGCTGGCAATGTCTGCTGAAGAGGAACAGTGGACAGCCAATTCTGGTCAGCTGCCGAGTACTTCGTCCGGTGGAAACAACAACAGCAACAGCAACAGCAACAACAACACCAATCACTACGTCAACTCGAAAGAGGTTCGACAGCTGAAGAAGCTAATGTCACTCTCTCGACAGCAGGCGAGTGGCAGTAGGGGAACTGCCAGATCAGTCCGATCAGACGACAGTCCCCTGGTGGCGACCTCCTACTGCAATCCTCTTTTCAGTGAACTCGAGAGCTCGTCTGAAACAGCACCGAACAGCAGTACCACCACTACTACCACCACCAGCACATGCTGAGCACCTGTTCTTGTTGTTTGCTCATTTGAAATTGTGATCACCCTCCCCACCCCTGTACAGTTTTTGACTTTTAAATACATTTCATTTCATACAATCAAAGTGACTAGTGTCTGTTCCTGTTTTTTTTATTATAAAGTCATGCTAGCCTAGTAAAGTAATGTTCGTGTCATCATCACCTGCTAGAAAGGAGGAAGTGTGGAGAAATGTTTGTGTGCGACTAGTGAAATGATGTAGNGTTTTTTTTATTATAAAGTCATGCTAGCCTAGTATAGTAATGTTCGTGTCATCATCACCTGCTAGAAAGGAGGAAGTGTGGAGAAATGTTTGTGTGCGACTAGTGAAATGATGTAAAAAAATGATATAAATTGTTAGCAATGGAGGGTGGCACTTTCTCCTCTTCTCTTCCGGTGGTGAAGGACTCGATTGTGCTGGCGCAATATATCCTAGATGGGCTGCTGATGGATGGCAGAGTGTTGATCATCTCAATGAAAGCGGTCAAGGAGAGGAACAGCTATTAAACGCTCACTAACGTGAACACAAAGTGGGGAATGTTGTTTTGTCGCTGTTGATGGTAATCTCTAGATTGGTCATTTATTATTAGTAGGTCATCATCATCCTCATCATCTATATGACATCTAATCGATCATAAAGAGACTGTTTGTTGGCGATAGAGACACAGAGAAACATCATCATCATCTTCGCATTCATCCCCGTGTGCTCATCCATGAGTGCGTACAGGCCGTCGGTTGTTGTTGTTGTAATCATCTCAGCATGCAGTATATTAGCCCGATGTTAGTTGAAATGGTTAGTTCGCTGAGTTGTAGTGTGNTTTTGTCGCTGTTAATGGTAATCTCTAGATTGGTCATTTATTATTAGTAGGTCATCATCATCCTCATCATCTATATGACATCTAATCGATCATAAAGAGACTGTTTGTTGGCGATAGAGACACAGAGAAACATCATCATCATCTTCATCCCCGTGTGCTCATCCATGAGTGCGTACAGGCCGTCGGTTGTTGTTGTTGTAATCATCTCAGCATGCAGTATATTAGCCCGATGTTAGTTGAAATGATTAGTTTGCTGAGTTGTAGTGTGTGAGTGGGTGAAACAAAATGTGAAAGATAGAAAAGAGTCGGTCGAGAATTGAGAAGAGTGGAGTTAGCAGAGATGTATTTACATCGGGGCAGTTCGTGCTCCGAAAGTGTTTGTGGTGTTATACAAAGTTCACTTGAATAGTGGTGGTAAGCTGAATTATGACACACGTTCTTCCAGTAGTTCATCCGTAGCCCGTTTCCTCGCTCATTTACTCTCCTTTCCTGAAAGTAAGCAAGCAGTTATTGTTCAGTACTCTTCACGAAGAGGGAAACTCTGGTGGTAGTGGTCTTTTCTAATTTCTGGTGGTAGTGATGCGCCTTTGGTGGAGCTAGAAGGTACTGGTGGAGAGAATACGTGATATGGCCAGTGCCGGTGTGTGAGGTCGGCCGACTGTAGCGTCAAGCGAACAATGCAAACATGCAACTCCTTCTACAAACGTAGCGGAGAGAAAGAAAGAGGGGGAAACTGCAAAAATGATAGCAAAAAACAACCAAAACAGAACCAAAGCAACAGAATTTAGAGCGAGAGAGAGAGGAAAGTAAGAAAAGAGAGATGCAAGACGAGAAGAGAGAATGAAAATGAATCATGTGTTGGTGTGTGTATGCTTATGGGTGGATATATAAAAAATAATCACATTTAAGGTGCTTAGGAGCGAGAGAGAGAGGAAAGTAAGAAAAGAGAGATGCAAGACGAGAAGAGAGAATGAAAATGAATCATGTGTTGGTGTGTGTATGCTTATGGGTGGATATATAAAAAATAATCACATTTAAGGTGCTTAGGAGCGAGAGAGAGAGGGCAAAAGAAAAGGAGAATAATAAGAGTAAGGAGAGGAGGAGAATGGAGGGAACGTTTTAAGGACCGCCTGAGACTAATTTACTTGGGACATGAATGGAGGCTTTTCTCGTGGCCAAGCAGTCAGGCGTGGGTATCGCGTCGCCCGTGGTACTCGATGGTGGCGGCAAGGTCAGGGGAGGCGGTGCCTGTGTGCTCTGCACTGAAGTGGGCGGCAGCGGATGGCCCTGGTTCAGCTTGGACTCTGGCAGGCGAGGCTTGTTTGAGCCCTTGTTCGCCGCCGCTGCCTTTGCCATGTTGTAGTCGCCAGAGTCGAAAAATTTTTGCTAAATAAGACGAATAAACTGATCAGCAAAGAGCTCTCTATCAACAGTCTGATATCAGCAGGCTGATTGGCGCGAAAACTTACTCCCTTTTGAAGGCGCTTCTGCAGAAACTGCGGACCAGGGCGCTGAATGGAGGGATACTTCATCTTAAGCTTGCTCTCCTCCTCCTTTTCGGCCATTTTAAGTTCAGCGGTGTTCTGGAGTGAACAAACAAGGATTAATGGTTAATTAGATTACCGAAAAATCTTGGTAGCTTACGTTGTTGTTGGCTTCGCTGGCCATTCTGTTAGCTTCAAGAGTAGTTGTCAAAGTGATCACAAAGTGGAGATGGTGAAAATCAAAGTTCAATTTCAAACGCTGTACAAGTCGATCTATCAAGAGAAGAAAAACAAATTATTACAGATTGATTGGGAAGGGATCAGGGCACGTTAGTGTAGAACACAAAGCAAAACAAAGCAAAAAGTGAGCGCTCACCAGCGCTATATTTTTCTGTTTGCAATTCTTCTTTACAGCATTGTACAGCTTCTTTTTTCCACTTTTGCTAGCTAAATGGAAATGCTTTACCGTCAGCGCCTTTCCCTTTCTCCCTCTTTCGTTTGTTCTGGCACATCAAAATTAGAATTGAATGAGCACAAGAATTCAGTTCATTATGTGGAGGAAGAAGCAGGAGCTGCAGTGCAACAAGAAAACAGCGTCACAGTTGTTGATACACAGACATACTGCCGAGAGACAGACTCACTCATAGGGGAGCTCCAAGTAGACTAGGCGCTGGTGCAGTGCTGACTGATGCTAACACAGACACACACTTATATATAGACGCCAGGGGAGACGCTAAATTGGCGAAAAGCGAAACATTTCCGAGTCGATAGAGAGGAGCCAGAAGTGCTAAAGCGTAAATGCAGCAAAAAACTTGTGCATTTTCATCACCATCAACTGTCTACAGCTGCTGTAGATCACAAAGAGTCACCATCTCATGGTAATAAATTGACTCTAATTAGGAGAAAAGAAAAGAGGACCCATTATAATGAGAAGAACTGAAACCAGAGGCAGCTTACGATTTAGTGCAATTAAGAGGCAGCAGTAGTTAGGCGATAATGGCCTGTGGTTGTGATGAGAGAACACAAACACTGCGAGAGAGAGACACATGCATCGGGAGGAGATGCTGCTGCCGATGTTGTTGCTGCCGCTGCTGTACAGATCCTCGATAAGAGGACTCACATGATAAGGTAGGCCAGAGGAAACTAACTGCCTGGTGCAGCAGATTCATCGAGAAGCATTGTTGTAGTCAAGTAGGCGGTTTACGAAATAGGTAGCAGGAGTAAACAGTTAGAGTGCCAACAGAACTTACCTCAGGGTTGGGGCAATTCTACTTGAAGCCGGTGTGAGAAGAAGAAAGAGAAGATGATGATGTTGTGTTTGGTGAGCTTGATGATGTGCCAATGAGGTGCTGTGCTGAGCACAATGCCGGGACAACACACTTTAGATCAGAAAGTGTTTGATCAGCTTTCTGCTTGCAGACAGGTGCTGCTGTTGCTGCTGTTGCAGTCTCCAATGAGGATCGTGACTGAAGTGATGGTGATGATGATGTTGATGATGGAGGTGCTGTCCGCTTTCTGGTGTCGTTGGCACACTGAGCAGAGAACGCAATGATGGCAGGCTCTCTGGTTTCGGGACTCGGATGAGAGCGAGCGAAAGAGAAAGAGAAAGAGAGAAGTGCACCTAAACAACTCATCCACCACTTTCACTCTGTTGTCTGCCGAGTTTGCGCGTGTGAGCCGCACTGTGCTGCATAACCCTCAGTAGAGGGCACCACTCGCCTGCAGATTTCGCTTTTCCACTGGGGACTGCAATGGAAAAGCCCTCCTGGAATTGAAGTAGAAAGGCAGTAAGTAAAGACGAGCTTTAAGGTGGCATTTCACTATCACTGAAATATCATCGTCACCATTTCAAGGGAAATATAAGTGCGCTGGAAAATAAAGCGAAACACATCCGATGATCAGTACTGGATATTGGTTTCTTTTAAATGACCATATTAGCTGTACCAAGCAACGCATTCCCGTAGGGACGCACATTCAATCACTTGGAAGCGACACTTTGGTGAATAGTGATAATATAACGAAGAGATTGGGTAGTTGACAAATGTTCTTTCCTGAAATGTTGGCTTTTCTTATTCTTGACTACCGGTTTGATTGATTAACAGTTTCACTGATTTTAGTTGATTTTTGAAACGGCAATTTCATTTTTACCGCGCGTGTGAGATCATGCGCAGACAGAACGGCAGCAGACAGCAACAACAACAGCAGCAGCCGCACATCAACTGACAAGTGTTTGAAAAAGCCGATCACCCCGAACTGTCACACCAAGTCTTGTCAACAGTCAAAAGTAACCAAGAGCTTCAACAAAGGACACCAAAATGCCTGGCCCTCCATTTCGCCACCTGCTGGACATTCTCTGGCGCCGCGAGTGCGGCTTCTACGATCCGTATCCGCAGCGGTCGTGCGCTGCCATGCTTCGGTCGATTTACAAAGACGCAAGTATTTCTGAGCTTAAACAAATGTTCAGTGAGCCATCTAACAGGATTCTTTTGTAGAAGGAAAACAACTTTTTCGATTGCATCTACCAGGAGACCTCGTCAAAGCACATTATCATGATAGAGTATGTGTGATTTTTAAATGCAATTTCAGTTTCATATAACATCTTTTTCTGTTTTTTTTTCAGAAACCGGCTGTACTTTGACAATTTGAGCGTTTGCAAGACATTGTGAGTATGCAGCTCAACTTTAAGTTCTTTGTTTGATACCTTCACTTTACTCAACACAGCTATGGACATGAGAAGCCACAGCTTCAGTACGAACAGATGAGTAGCATGCGCCAGCCGAAGATTTCCGATTTTACCGCCGTCAATGCCGTAGGTTTGGAGCGCTCGCCCGCTCCCCGGGCCGAGTACCGCAATGTGTTCTACGTGCTTAACCAGTCGTCAGTACTGAGCGAACTGGACCTGATGACGGGAGAGAGGCTACGGGAGGTCTATCTGGCCGACTCTCAGTTATGCAAGTTTAAAAGCATTTCCTTCCACGACGAGCTGAATCGCATGTACATTGAGTCGAACTGCAATCCGCGAAAAGCTCAGAATCCCGAGGTCATCCACTCTGTAGTGGTCTTTCAGGTTCTGCCTTTGAAGTTGCTCGGATTTGTCGAACTGAGAAAGGCACACTTTGGCAGCGGTCACCACCCAGGGGGAGCGCTGAAGGCGATTGACTTTCACAATGACATTCTCATCACCTATCACGGCCATAGCCGGGAGAAGTTGCGCGCCTACTTCTACGACTTTAGTCAGATTCTCTGTCCATCAAACAAGCTCTTTGACGCCCACCTGGATAGATATTGCGACCCTGTCGGGCTCGTTGGCCACCGTCCGACAGGAATACCGGTGAATTACCTTATGAAGGACCTTCCACCGCCGCTGTACTTTATCGATCGCAATGTGGAGGGTATTCAGTTCTCGCCGCTGCCACTGATGCACATCGTCGCCAGAGAGAAAGACGTTTTCGAGGTGTACGAGACTGCTTCGCAGAAGCTGATTGGAACGCTAGGCGCTGAACTGAGTCCAGATGAGCATTTGGGCTATGACATGGATGACTATATGGTGACCATGGACTACCACGACAGAATCGTCTACAAGGGCGCTGAGAGGATTCTAGTGTATAGCGTGAGAAAGCACAGCAACTCTGGGGATCAAGCGGATCTGGTTCTCGACTTTGAGTTACAGTTTCCAGAAGCGAATAACCCGAAAGAAACCAGCGAAGACAGTTTACCGACAAGGGTGATGCCTGCAAGGCTGTCCAAATCTAACAGGCTGTTCAGTCTGTGTGAGGTTTCGGTAAGAGCCACTGAGAGAAGAATGCTTCTTTTAAAACTTGTCAAGGCTAACTTTTGCTTTTTTAGATCAAAATTGTTGCTCTAAACTACTGTGAGACTCTCGAGCTGTTCATTGTGTTGGCTGACATTCCCAGCTACGCCAAAACTGGCTCTGTCCTGATGTACGACGCCATTGACGGACAGTTGATGCTTCAGTTTCATACTCCATTGATTGTCACAAATGTACTGGTAAAAATTGCGTTTTTTCCCCTTTTAACAAGTTTTTTCTTGTAGAAATTCTTCTATGAAATTCACCTCTACTACGACTACATTTACATCCTGGAAAAAGCTGCGAGCACGCAAAAGTTCCGAGTTCTTGCCTTTCAGTTGTTCAGAGATGTGGAGCCAATTAAGTAAGTGAGCGTTGTGTTTTTCAGTCACTGATGTCCGATTCATTGCAGTGTTGCTGCTTAAGCTGAAGAAGAATCTGTTTTTATTATATTGCATAAAATACATTTGAAATAAATCTGTAAATTCATTGAGTAACTTACTCTGGGTGCACTTTCCTGAAATGTTGTCTTCTCTG